TTTACTATAAATAATTAGGTTTTATGTAACCGCATAATACTTAGTACAATTCTCTTGACATTTTCAAACCGGGCAGCGTGGGACTCTAGGTACTTACGAGCCTTCGCCAGGTGCTCCAGGCCTTCTTGCTAGCTTAGGGGCAGTAATTCCAGAAAAGGCCAACTGTTTCTCTGGTGGTGGGGCTCCATTCAGGCTCCGAATAACAACAGCGTCTCCAGATAAGACCTGAAATAAGAACACATGTTTAGAGACTTAATTCACTTAGGTTAGGGCGAAGTATCTGTAAAAGATAAAGATTAAATTAGATTTCTTGAATAAGATACATCCTCAAACTAAAATATCACTTAAAACAGTTCAGGGCATATTTGTTTTAAGCCACTATTTACAGTACCTTATGGTGCCAACATGGCATTCACCAGAAAGGCCTGGGGATTCTCAGTTAAAATGAAAGAAACCATTTAAGGCAATTACACACCAAATAAATAAAGTTTAAATGAATAAATCTGGCTATTCTAACCTGTTTAACAATTCCTTTCTTTGGAATTTGAACGGGGGCTGTTGGGGTCGTCATTTTGATTCCATCAACTTCCAAATTGTAAAGATTACAAAAGACTGGCCTGTCAAAAGTGACATCCAAAAGAGAATTTGGACGTCACGTGGCGTCGAACTGGCAGGTCAAGTGAAAGTGCAACACACTTTGGAGGATCAACTGCGCTGCACATTGTCGGTATATCAAAAGCGTGGAGCTAAAATTGTATTAGAAATAATAATATATTGTTTAATTGTAACCAGTTGATAAGAATATATAAGACCCTGTTATTCTGTTGATATGCACTAATATTCAGAAAATGCTCAGATTGTTTTTGAATAAAAATGTGTGGAAACAAACAGGGACAGGAGATTTTGGACGTATAATTATCTAGATCAAACCAAAAAATTAGTGTAAATTGTAACGCTGCCTTATGCATGCATATTGGTTAAATGGTTTTTTTTTGGTATTAATAACAAAACTGGAACAAAACAAATTACACTTTCCTATAGCTAGGTTCGGTCAGTGTAATTTAATAATTAATTAATTTAAAATTTTAATAACATTAAATTTTCTTTATAAACTGAGCAGTGTTTAAACATAAATCTACGAAAGTTTGTAAGTTTAGATTGATAATAGTTTAGACCGGACACTGGAAGTGGATAGTCTGGACCTTTTTCCACATTCGAGGACTCTCTTCTCCGGTAAAAATATCTTCTATATGCTTTAAAAACTCTGCGCTAGAAGAAATTGGACTTTTAAAGTCGATTTATATCATGTGCCTCAAAAATCACTTCAAGTTTCCATTGATTTTTTATGGGAAAAACGAGTGAATTTGTTTAGCCTTCTAAAAACTGGTCTTTTTTTCGTTTCGGAAAAAAGTTTCGGATGTCATTATTAATGCTATTCTCTGGTATCGTCAGAAATTATTTATAAGCAAAAATCCTCCAAAAACTCAAAATCCTCCGAAAAAAACAACAAAATTTTGAAATTTCTTGAATTAATAGGCACAGTGTAGGTAATAAGCTACAAGTTGGTTCTCCTAAAATATTTCCAAAAACTTTTATTTTCTATTAAATATTTTTATTTTTATTTTCATTTATAAATTATATGGAGTGTTTTTTCAGTAAATTAATTATTACTTTTATCTCATATTTACTTGAACCCGTATATTTTTATCCAAGCAATATAATTTGTTAAATGGAGCTTCAAGGCGTGAAAAGTAAGACTTTGTGGTTCCAATGTTGAGCAAGTTTTTCCGGCATAGAGAAACGATGGATATTTTGCTATTGGCATAAGATTTTACTTTAAAGTGATTTTGACCCTAGCTACTAAGCTTCTATTTGGTTTAAAACTTAGTTCAACTCAAAGGTGGATTTCTTTTCATTGCGGTAAATAATCTTTTTCGAATTTCTTTTTCTGTCTTCAACGAGTCGCTTTAGATCTCTTACAAGTTGCTCAGATTAGATAGGTATGCTTACATTATAAAACATGAATTATAGTTCAAGATAATGGTTCAGAGCCTGAACTTTCGGGGTCTCATTGATGTCAATAGAACACATTTTCATAAAAGTAAGACAATTCTATCTTATATTCTATTTCAACCTTTAAACCAAAGTATGAAGAAAGTACCAAGAAGTAAGTCAAACTAAACTAGAAATGTGAGATATACTTACATATTGGTCAAAATCAAAATATTACTCTGTGAGAAACCGGTGCATTATTCTTAGAAATTATTGTTAGAAATATTCAATTAAAGACAAACATTCTTACCTACCACACAATTGCTTTAAAATCACTACTAAACACGAACATAATTTTCTACTGACTTTTTCTCATTTCGTTAACCAACTTTCCAAACTTTCAGATAACTCATAGTGAAGCAGGAGTATCAGAATATAATAATGTTTTAAAGTAATTTCAGCCCTGTATTAGTTATTAAATTATTAAATTAAACAGACTTCAAAAAGTTTTCTATTACTTGGTACATTTGAAGACTGCTGTGAAATGACAAAACTAGTTAAAATGAAAGTGGTCAATTTTTGTTGGACTCATAAAGATTTTTTAAAGTAATTTTCATTCATTCAGTCGCATGAACGTAAAATACTCGCACATCAAAGCGGCAAATTTAACTTAAAAACTAGAAACAAATTTAAAATTGCAAATTTATATTCAATCACATTTGCAAAATTGGCTTGCAAGAAAAACTAAAAAATAAGTATTAATAGATAAATGAAAAAATTACAAGTCTCATTCAACAAATCTTATACCATTTTGGAATTATGAGCCAAAGTCGAATTGGATTGGTAAATGAATCTTCCACTTTACTACAACAATCTCCTATAATTTTTAATAGAGATTTTATTAGAAATTTCAGAAAGCGGTTTTCAAATTATCAGTCACTCTAAGTACTAACTTTCAGGGGCGTTTTCGCTCGAAAGCTTATACTGGACTGATATTAAACCCCAGGCTGGACTGATTCAAACACAAACTCCGACAAAGATTCAATGAAATTCAATAAAACAAACTTCGTATTTTGTGTATGTGTGTAATACCTCTGAAGATGCGAGCCACTCGTACTTGCGAAACGTCAGGAGGAATTATTTTCCACAACCAGGTTCCAATACCCGAAACACTTAGGAAGCATTTGTTTGTTACTCTGTTATACGTTTAATTGACTACATATGATCAGTTGTTTATTACCTGAAATAAAAGTCTAGTTTACACTGTTTAATGTATATTTTTACTCACTAAATTCAACACAAACATCACAAGAACTACTGTATAATAATTAAATGTATTTTATTAAAAATAAACTTACGGTGACTTAATACTAGTCATTTTAAATCTAATCGCTATTTAATAGTGTGCTGGCATTTCACTTTCTGAAAATTGTCCAAAATTATACTAAATAAATAAATAGGTAGTAGGTACGCTATTTTCATAGTTTTCATATTTTATAGTTTTGTTCGAGGTATGTTCGGTAACCAAAGTTAATCAGTAATACTATGCACATCTACCTATCTGCTCAACTGTTTTTAGTAACATGGCTTAGGCAAGAACAGTAGATATATAAATGTAGGAAGTTCATTACAAACGCGCAAGATTGTACTTAATCTATGTATGTGCGAAGCTGTATAATTATTTTAAATTACATATAAAGTCGCTTATAACTAAATGGTAAAACGAAAAAGTCAAATATCTTCTACATCCATCTATTTCCACCTTCAAATAGCATAAGCAGCTTCCCAGAATTTCTTTTGCTCAGTTTTGTCGGAATATCACTTTGTAGAATGTTCAATTTACTAATTTTTCTTCATCAAATTAGCCTCAACACCCCAAACTAAACTTATACATCCAACAGCTTCGTTCTGCTTGTTATTCTATCTAGGATAAATGGCAACTTACATCACGTCCTAATTCTTATTATCGTCTTTCTCAATAGGCCGACCTTGCTCATCTATTTCGAGTGAAGGTATTAGGGGAGGCATAAATCCATATTCCATTCTAACGCTGCTGTCGTCGAAATGCGACCTGGAAAGGCGATTTTTTCCAGCGTCAGAAGCTGCAGGCCTTTTCGGTGGTATTAGTCCAATGGGTTGTTCAGGTTTCTTCACATTATATGCGTAATTTGAAGATCCTTCAGCTTGGTTACTGTCGGGTGATGAAAATGGGGGCAGATAACCATTGTTAAGTTGAGCATTGGAGAACCTTGCAGACTGATGTTGAGGGGAGGTCCGATATAGATCGTGTGGATTGCTAGTAACTGGCGGTAAATTGGCAATATTCATTCTTGGAAACACCAACAGATTTAACTTTTTCAGCTTAGTGGGGATTCGGCCGTTATTTATGCGCATATTTTGTTTAGGTGGCAAGTACTGATTATTTTCAGGGGCATAGGAGAAATATTGTTGTAAACCATTATGACCGAATGGCTGTTGAGGTGGTTTCAAATTCGAATAATGTACTTGTAGTGCGGACGGTTGATAGGCATTCTGCACTAAAGTGCTGTATTTCTGCTTGCTGAATAGACCAGGAATCTGTAACAGGTATCCTTGCGAGTTGGATGGTACTGAAAACGGCCTCCCCAGGTAGTGAGCTCCAGGTCTTTCAACAAAATACGGCACCTTGCGTTCCACAATTTTTTCTATTGGTTTTTCAACTATTTTTTCATCCGGTTTTTCTATGTAATACGGAACTGGCACTTTGCGCTCCACGATTTTTTCAACTGGTACGGGCACTTGTACTGGTACCTTGACCTCTACGGGATACGGTTGCTTCACTATGTGTTCAACCACCTTTTCCACAGCATAAGGTTGAGGATAAGGAACGCGTACTTCAACCGGATATGGTCTGTCCACATATTTCGTAATTTCTACTGGAACTTGTACGGGTCTTTCTACAATCTTTTCCACAGGATAAGGAACGGGTTTCTCAACCACTTGAGTTACGACAGCAGGACTTTCGGCCTCTTTTTCACGGTATGATTGGTAGTCTCCTACTTGCTCGAAATTTATTAGAGTCTCAGGCAATTGGTCTTCGGCAGCAACGTTCTGCTGATCTTGATTGATTTTAAGCAATAGCTGGCCCCTACCTTGGTTAATCTCTTGCGCCTCATTCTCTTGCTGTTGGTTGCCCAAATGATTCGAGTTAATGTCGTTAAGTATTTGAGTTTGATCCTCACTGTGAGAGTTTGTAATTAGTTGTTCAGCCTTCGGAGATTGTTGTTCGGGAAAATACAGCAAGGTTTTTCCCAGTTCAATATTTTCCACGGCTTTATCTTCGGCTGATCTTACCTGCCCAGAATTTTGTTCCCCGCTAGATAGAATATCGAATCCTAACGGATACTCGTACATGCCCAGGTAGTAGGGGATGGTTTTTTGAATTTGCACCGAAGTTTTCCCATGCGTTTCTACAGTCCGGGTGTCTTCACTTAGTTGTTCTTCTACTTGCTGCAGCTGCACTCCAGCCGTGATAGGAGCTAGAAACTGCGAACTTACTGGTCTTGGAGTTACTAAGACCTGATTACTATTGTCCGTAACTCCTTTGCTAGTTTTTGGTGTAGTGGAAGCAATAAAATTTCTAGCGGTGCTTGTGTATTGTTCTTTGTTTTCCTCAGTTTTTTCAGTCACCGGTTTGGCTTCTGCATCCAGTGCAGAGTCTGCAACTACAATTGGTTCGTTCAGTAAACTTTCTACTGGAGAAAAATCTGGAGCTGGAGAAGTTGATGCTAGAATGGTAGGTGAAACATACTGTCGAAGTAGATTATGAAGGGTGCTACTCTCGAGGCCATCATTGGAAGAATCTGCATCAGAAATGGCAGCATTCAGATTTAGAACATCATCACCACTCACCAGGTTTCTAGTAGAGTCTATTAACTTTTTGGTGTTCAAGAGTGGGTTTTTTGGGTGCAGCCTGGTCCCAAATTCGATATATTGAGCACTGGGGGCAGACTTTTGAACCTGCACAATTTGATTCGGAGGTTTTACTAGTGGAGCGGTTTCCAGTAGGTTTTCATTGTCGTTATTGAAAAGAATATCACTAAGGGCATTATTGTCTGTTGGTTGATTGATGTCAGGATTTCCTACCAGTGCTTCTGGATTAGGAAGCGATTCCAATTGCTCCAGTTTGCGTTCATCTTCCGGCTTTCCTGATGTTTCTTCTTGCTGTGCTTGATTATTCTGGGCGTGTAGCAACTGACGCAGTGGATTTTCTGCTTCAGTAGGATTATTAGTTAGGCGAATATTCGGAAAATTATCCACTTGTGGCGTTTGAATCAGATAAAACACCGGCGTTTTACTGTTAAGGTCCTGAGTGGGTGTTTTGTAGTCTACTAATAAATGCCTGTTTTGCAGTTTTTGGTCATTTGGATCACTAGGAGCGTTAGGTAGTCCCTGCGGACTGATAATCGTATTTTCTGGATCACCACCTAATTGAAGAATTTGATTCAACGGATTGTTAGATTCGGATAAACTGTTCGGTCGCTGGAATAATTGTTGGTTGGGACGATCGAATTCTGTGCTTTCTGCAGGATCTTGTGGTTGCAGAATCAGAGTTTGCAAAGGATAAGTTGAATCTGCCGGGGGTAGTTGTGTATTCAGGCCAGCATCGGCAGGATCTTTGCTTAAGTGTAAAGCTGGATCGAGTTGTTCATTAGATGGATTCAGCTTTGAAAGATTCTCTGCTTTGCCTGGATCAGACGGGTCTTGAGGAATGGATTTCTGGATAGAAAAATATTAATGTTGTTGATAATACATATTTAGGTTACTTAGTTGACTTTGTTTGATTGTTGTATTAATCTGAATTGAATCTTCTAAATTATGAATGCTTAAGGAAGAAATGCAATTATCCAGAGTCAGTCAAATTTTCAACTAATCGTAAAAAATTGCTTAACTTGCTTTATATTTTCCTCGGTGTTTATTATGTAAAAATATTCGGTTTTTATTCTTCATTCATTATTTCACATTTTTTTTTCAAATGTGGTTAACATTTTGAGTCTTTTATTAACTTCAAGTAATAGAACTTGATTAATCAGTGGCGCTTTGTTTAGTTGCCACTGTTTACTCATTATTTTTGACCACATATGTTGGAAATTTAAGCATCATCACTGAGTGATATTGGAAACCGTAAGACACAAAGAGTGAATTAAATTTTAGAAACTGTGAAAATTTGTGCACCGTAAAATTCTATTTTGAAATATTTTTCTATTCCGCTAATGCTAAGCGCTTATGAAGTCTTATGTTGTCCAATCCAGTACACGAATTACTCATGGAAATACTTTTTTTGCAATTATCTATTTATTAATCAAATTATCAGATACTCGATTTGTGCAATAATGTCTAGAGGTCCGAATTTATAAAAGATAAATTAATCTTGATTATGCAACAAAACGTTGAACCAAAAGTTTAATAAAAAACTTTCGTAGAAAAATTTCCTAAAAGATATAACACGGATTTTTGTATCATCCGGCTCTAGTTTTTCTGATACAATTTTATCGCCTGAAAAGTATTATGAGAATTTTTAAATTTAGTTTTCTTTAAAGAAAATTGAGCAGTTTTTATTTTGTTCCGTTTTTCAACAATTTGCCTTTGGAACTTTAAATATCTCTGAATATTTCATTGCTTTGGAGACCCCAATTGTTTGGAAGAACTTGATCGTCATATATCTATATTATTTAAAATTTCGTTCCTGTTCCTTATCTAAAATTTGTTCTTTATTGAATATCCATTAAAAAATAGTTGCACATTTGTCTGAAACGAAAACGGTTAAATCGATGATGTTTGGTCGATTTCGAAGTTCTTCATTAGTCGAAAAAATACAAGTACATTTCAGACACGAAAATTAGTGCTCAATTGAAAGTCAATCAAATTTATAAGAACAACTATTTTATTGTTATCACACTTAATATTCAATAAAATACTTTCTTTTCCTTTGGCGCAAATACTTTAGAATAAACCTTATAATAAAGATTCACATGAGAATACTTTGATCTATTTTTATACATTGATGAATAGGCATGTGTGTATTTGTATATGTGCTAACTGTATGTCTTTCACAATTAATTATTTTTCTTTTGCTACTAATTGAAAATTATTTATCGTTTTTCAATTTAGTGTCAGAAAAGAATTTTAAAATCTCCGTTCTAAAAAACTTGATTTACCTCATTATTCTTCAATTTTATCGCTTCTTCGCCAAAGGCAAAATTTGCAGAACTTTTGCTGTGTGGACTAGAATTACTATATTCCACTACCGGGTGATATCCCCAATCATCAGCGAAATATTTCACGTACTGATTGGATTCAGTGCCATTTTCCACGTAGTATCTGCAGGAAGAGATTTTTGGTTGTTTCAATAAACGGAATTTATATTTAAATACCTACCTTCCTTGCGCATATATTCCATCTCGTTCCTCATCTTTACCTTGCGTCACTTTCTCCTCTTGTATTCTGTAACCATATTCATATTTTGGTGGATTCTGAAAATTTCATTGAAATAGGGTGACAGAATTGATTATCACAATAATGAACTTTTTTTCTATTTTGTTAAACAACAAAAATATTTTATAGCTGAGAATTGATAACACTTTGTGTGCAGTTTTAAGATCAAAATATTAACTAGTCTTTGCCTTGATTGGTTGTGTTAAAGGAACATTTTCACAATCAAACCAAATCTTAATTAATTTTTAATTTTTAAATTATTTTTTATATTTAAAAGACAAACAATACTTAAATATTTTCAAATAAATATTGAAAACCTCAAAACCAATAAGCATCTACTTACAGGGTCGTAGTCTTTGGGCGGCGCTACGAATCCGGGAGGTTTTGTTGCATGGATATTTATAAAGATAAGTATAAATATGAGCGCAATCTGAAAAGTAAATCGGAAGACAAAAGTTATATGTAGTTCAAGAAGGGCATGCCTCTCAGAAATATTTATTGCTGCCAACCGTTAAATGAAGTAAAGACCGATGGATATCTGAATGAAATCATTTTGAGTCTTCTGCTGAGTAACACCATGGTTATAATGTTCTATGCGCTTGTCTACCAGAAAATTTCAGCTAGAATAATTTTGATCTATTAAAGTCATGATAAGTTGCTAAAGTTTATATGTTTCTGTTATTTTTATATTTTTTCTGAAATATATTGATGTTGAATTGAATTGAATTTGATAGCACCGTAGCACAAAATTCTACTTTAATTTAATTGATATGTCAGCAACTTTTCTATCCAGCTTTTCTAATTAGAAATGCTGAAATAAAAATCCTTCTTCATCATTTTTCGATTTATATTGTTTATTTGAAAATAAAATTATTATAAGCAGAAGTAGATCAACACTGTTCCAGCTCTAAAGCACGTAGAAATAACGAGACAAAACCAAAAAAACCGGAATAGTGTCAATTTATTCTTTGCGGTTTTATGAAACGTATAGCCGAATTTTTTGTGGGAAAGAGTATTTATAACGATGTGGTCGATTGTTAATTGAACCGAACTCAATATGCCCTGATTAGGATGTCCTCAATAGCCGACATTTAAATTTTGTATTGGAAATCTGCTATATATTAGTGTATTGAATAGAAAATTCAACTTTTGGACCATAAAATGTCCAACTTGTTCACTACTGCACGGAATTTCAATGAAGCATTGTGAAATTTCGTTGTTTTTACAACAATGGAGTAATTAATTCATTGCCTTCTTCTTGTATTGCCAGCCAAACAATTGCGATTATTCATTGTCCAAAGAAAGCATGCGAATTGTTAATGGCAGTGAAAGAAGTGCAGATCTAATATCTGATGCATTATTTACAGATTAATCAAAGCGAAGCCTAGAGAAGACATTAAAATCGCTAATATTATTTAAATTGGCTAAAGCCGTAATGCGTAATTTATATTTCATGAATGTTTCAACAAATGGTACATTATTTTTGAGAGAAATTGCAATTAAAGTATGCATTGTAAATTACTCTTTGTTAATTTATATGTGATGCATCAATAGGAAACTGACAAAAAGGGAACAAGACTTGTAGTCATAAAAGGACTAGATAATAAATGACTTAAACAGCAACGCCGGAATGAAAGTACCTTCACTAAAGTTCCTGAAGATACATTTTGAAGATACATGGCTAGTTCACCTGCATGCAAGCAATTACTTTCTAAGTAACAATGAATTGTCGCAATTTTATATGAAGGGTTCACTATTAATATTCCAAAAACTAATTACGCATAGATCCTTCTCGAACAAGGTTAAAGCAATCAATCAATTTTTAAACCTAAATAATCTTCATTGCAAATATAGTAAGAGGAAATTTAATTGCCCCATTCGCTTCAATGAAGTGGCGCCTGCAGGTAGGTAAATGTCTTCAGGTGTTTAATTGTCTTCCACTGCACTTTACGAGATGAAATTTATTATTTTTAAAACACTTTAGTGCCTGCTTCCTGGTATGTAGTATTACGTTAAACGATAAATTTCTGCTCTTTGGAATTGATTGCATTTTCAGCTTATTACTGCGATTCAACAAGTTTTTGTTTTGGATGCAAATGTATGGTTGATATTTAATTATAAGGTAGTTGCATCCAATAATATATTTATTATTTTGGAACATTGGATTATTATTTGCTCTGTGCTATCGCGACCCTTTCTCGTTGTTCCAGGATGTTGAAGAAAATTTTATTTTAAATGTATTTAAATAATTTCTTGCTAAAATATGTATTTACTGAAATATTACTGTATATACACTATTATAAACTATGGAAGAATTCCAAAGAAAATTACTTCCATGTAACAAAAATCGGCGGATTCTTAAAGAAAAAGGTTACTGAAAAATATATCTTGCTTTCAAAAATCCAACAGTTCCTAATGAAATCGCAATGAATGAAATTGAAACCAAAATAAAAAAGTGACAGGTTTGTGTTGTAGAATTTACCTTAATGGACGTACTTTCTTTGACTTTCTAAGTGTTTTTTCAATCGGAACAAATACTTACATAATAATGCGGATGCACGCTATTATTGTAGCATAATAATGAGGAGAATGTTTACATTTTTAACATAAAAATACTTTGTGTATATTTTCCTGACTGTATTTCAACTTAATTCAAAAGAAATTCCTGGGTTCCGGTCAATTTTATTGTTTACCATTTCAAATGTCACAAAAACGTTTCGGTGTTTTTCTCCACAATCATCAGTTTGTCTGAAATATACGTTCACATTCGTTATTCGTTTAAAAGAAGAGCTCTGTTAAATATACATACTAAAATACAAATTACAAACATATTAAAAAGTATATTAAAATCGAAATTATAATCGAAAAATAAATTCTAATCTTTTCCCGAACATGATTGTCCTGACTCATCACCTGTAATCCCAAAAGATTCAAACGATTTTAATATACTTTTTAATATGTTTGTAATTTGGATTTTAGTATGTATATTTAACAGAGCTCTTCTTTTAAACTAATAACTAATGTGAATGTATATTTTAGACAAACTGATGATGGTGGAGAAAAACATCGAAACGTTTTTGTGACATTTTAAATGGTAAACAATAAAATTGACTGAAATCCAGAAATTTCTTTTGAATAAAAAATACCACACTATACCAAATGCTAACTTGTTATTACTTAAGTAAAGTACTAAGTAGACTGAGTGTTTTATTAAATATTTAATTACTTGAAACATTTGGATTAATTGGATTATTCTGGATTAATTCTTCGTTTTTATTTCTTTGTTAACTTTTGTTTTTCGTTTTTGTTTTTTTAAATTAAATTTATTTGATTAATTTCGCCCAACCTAAAGCCAACTGTTTTCATAAAACTCATTTACAGGGAGGATAGTTCATAAAAATATATCTGCCTATAACTACTATAAAATCCCGTGCAGGCCTACAGGACAGAGTATCAATTACTTAAGAAAAAAGAAATATTACACAACAGCATAAATAATTTAGCTAATAATATAAAAACATTAATGCAAAAATCTAATTCGCACTCTCAAACCGTGAATAAAGCATGAAATTAATTGGAAAACATCAAATAGTTTATTTAAAAAATAAAATTAAATTAAACAATTATGTTGTTTGTTCTTAAAATAATTCAAAAGTATCAATTTCTATTTAATACCAATGCTAATTTATGCAGTTTGAAAAAATTATTTTATTCAAAATTGGTTATATTCACGTTAAAAAACCTACTGATTTTATTGAACTTTAATTGTTTCTTTAATTCTCCAATTAAGTTGAAAAGTAATTCCTTTCTGAAAATAAGGAACATATTTTTCTGTTTCCCAGTTCAAAAGTTTGATAGTTTAGAATACAGAAGTTTGTTAAGTCTTTTTACTAGTTATATTTATTTTTAGTTTAGAAAAAATAGTTTATTTATATATAGTTGGAGCATTTCATGTTTTCCCAAACAGTCGTTTGTATTTCGGTTTTTTTTATCTTAACAAATGTCTACGAAAACTTTTTTAAGTTGAGGTTAAACAAATCGTTAAGGAGATTCTTGTGTCTAATTTATACGCACATTTCTTATCTTTTCGAAAACAGAAAGAAACAGAAAACAGAAAGAACAATTCTACAAAGAAAGTACGTTATAAACCTTAATTTTAGTGTAATTTGTTTACACATAATGTATATCCGAAACAAAGCATTTCAAGTCATGTTTTCCCCGAATTAGTTGATAAGAGAGGAAAGAAATTAATCCAAAAATATTTTAGGATATTTATTAATCAACCTGTATGCGTCAAAAAGGCATCAAATTGACGTGTTATGTTGCTATTATTTTATTACTGTTGCAGCAGTTGATTTTTTATGATATACCTACATATCTTTTTTGTAATATTTATTTTATTTGATTTTAAGATGATTTTTGTTTAGACTCCTAACAAATTGCCGCTTCAAGTTTCATTTAACTTCTAAATTTTCTTAAATCAATTTACGAATTTCTAGTAAAATACTACGAATTCGTCAAAACACAACGCTAATGTTGCAGATTGTTGTCTCAATAAAAAATGTATCCAAAATCATCGAATGTTTTCACTAACCTGCTCTACATGACCAGGCATTTTTTGGCACAATATCACTGGAAAAAAGCGTTAAATCCGATTGAATATTCTCAATTAAATTTAATAAAAACTACCACTAGATGTAAATGTTGCACGGATCTAGATCCGGACGGTAAGACGGCGAGTCTGCATACAACTCTTCGCGAAGTACTCTCTTTTAGAAATGCTGAACCGCATTTCATCTCGCCAAGTTTGTTTTAAGATGAGAACCCCTTTCACCTGTTTTGCTGAGCCCGACCCATAGCCTATGCTCGAAAGATTCGAACGTAAAGGAAAAAAGTCGATAATGTTGTTTTATTATTTAATAAATTGCATTATGGTTAGGACTCACACAACAAAACACTAAATTGCAGTTATTTGCTTGAAACAGCTTTCAAATAGCGAAAAAGAACTCTAATGTAGGTTTTTATTTCGCCAAAAATTATAAAATAAACTTAATCTAGAGTAAATTTAACAAAGAAAATAAACGCACTTTTATCCTACTGTTTTGTAATTCGATTTCAATCCGTTTTAAATGTACTCAAGTAGTTACGATTTTCAATGATGTTTTCGAAAAAGCTTGCTATAGATTTTTTAAATTCTTTAGAGTTGAGCTATTTGGGAATTTGCATTAGTTGCATGTGCGTCAGTTCCGATGTGTTCCGTCTATTGGTGGTTAGAAGAAAACGAATTCTTCCTTAATTTCTACCCAAAATTTACAAATACACATACAACTATTAACGCCAAATTACTGAATGACACCTATAAATCCCTAAATAATGGACTCATTCAGTAATTGAAAAAAACTTGTTACGGTTCGTTGAGAAAGAAAGTTCCTGCTTATTTAGGAGCGGCAGTCAATTATTGGCGTAATTTATTTCACATCTACCGATATCGATAGAGTACTTGATATTTATCAATTCATTGGGCCATTTTATCAATTGTATTTAATCAAAACTACCAATCTTCTTCTTGCAAGGTCGGCCCAAGGCTGCGCCAGCCAACAAAAAGAAAGTTCCATCACGTTTTGGGAGTGTCTCGATGTACCATGCAATTAAGCTGTAAGGTGAAATACACAAAGGGCAATTTTATATGTAAATTTTATGTTTTCTATTTCGGAAACAATCGGTTTTTGATTATGGTGCGGGAATATTTAGCAAATAAGAACTGGTTTATCCACCGTTTTATATCTAATGCCCACGAGTGCAATTAAACATACTGTTTTTTTCGTTTTTGCATCAGGTTTATTTTTAGAAAATTCAAATTCAGTATGAATGTTTCTTTCTTGTTCAAGCTCAGAGATAAAACAATAGTACACGTTTTCTCCGGTGTTTATTTGAACTTTTAAAAACTAAAATTTGGGAAATTCAATGCTTATTGAATTACGCGGAAACAGGTTAACAAAGAGAACTGTGAGTCGTCGATTTTTTCTGGATTTACAAGTTTTAGTTCATCTATATTCTTTATTTTGTGCTGTTCTTCGTCTTCATTCGCTAAAGGTTTACTTATTTCGAGAAACTCAAATTTCAAGAAAAGAAGAGTTTTTTTTTTAATTTGACTACTTTCTCTCAATATAAGTATAACTTTTTTTACAAACTGTTTGTTGGGTATTTTGTCTCAAAAATGTTTGTCTTTAAAAAGGACACAATTTCCTCACGTTTTTTATTAAATATTTTTTTAGAAACAAAAATTTTTGAGGCACAATATAGAACTTATCTATAAATATAACTGTTTTCGCATATGTAGTTTTTGCCCGTGTATCGTTTTTGATCCATCGAAGGTCTTCCATTTATTTTCAAATGGTTTCAAATGATTGCTTTACTGTGCCAGTTCACATTCACTTTAAAATTGGTGCCAAACATTAAGGCAGAACTGCAATTTATAACAACTTTTTTACCGCCGATATAAATCGATAAAAATAAAAGTAGGCATAAGGATCATTTACTCTACACTAATCGCAAAAATCAAAAAAATTGCCAGAAATGATAAAATCTTCAAAAGTCCCTATTTCAAGAAACAGATTATTTGCTATTGATATTAATGATTTATCATTCGCATAATTTCCAACACTTAGACTTGCACACCTAAAAACGGCCATTCCACAAAAGCGGCTTTTTAAGAGTGAAAGTCCAGTCATGTAGTAAATGTAACCAATTTAGCTATTCCAATGTTGGCCTCTGGCCATTTACTACATATTCTAGATCACTTTTGAATCTTGCAGTAATGTATGTTACGACGGGCAATGTCAATAACACCTTATAGGAGGATTAATCGTTTTTTTTGCCATCTGTCGGAACGCGTTTTATAATTAACCATGTTGCATGTTCGATTTTCATTTCGTTTGATTTATCTGTTGTGGGCCGAACAGAAACATGCAAGCCAAAAATGTCCAAAAGTATGTTTCCTTCCAAAACGAATTGCAATGCAAGGGATGAAAGCAACATTTTTGGAGCTAACTCAACAGCATTCTATGGCTCGAGCTTTCAAACGCCTTTGGTAAATCACCAAACGCTGCCAAAGATTGGAGGTTGCTATCTATCAAGACAAGTTATTATATTTTAGTTATGCTTGAAGAGCACAGCTTAAAATTACAACAAAATTAGTGGTTTCTTATATTATCTTGATCAATTAACGAATGGTAAACACATGGTTGTTTATAACTGAAAATGCTTATATGGTCGACGTAAACATGTGCTTTATCACTGAAAAAATCTATGTTTAATTAAAATTGCAAATTTTCTGTGGTTTAATAAGTAATTCATAAATAAAACAATAAATTAACGCGTCAATGTTAAATGTTCCAAGTGCCTCATTATGGTTTAACTAGAATATTAGCCATATGGGTGTCATTTCCTCGATACCATAAATCAGTGTATTCAAATGCGTTCATTATAAAAGTAAAAGTCGCACTCCCGAAATTGGAGGAGAAAGAACTCGTGTGGCTAATTCAGTGTATAGTATGAAATCTAAATAACAGTAATTATTTATATTAATGGTTATGATTGTATGAATCGAGAGAGAGAAAACTCTGTATACTGGATATAACAAATTCGAAATTATATCAAATATAACTGAAATCAGTGGTTAATCACATGAAAGTGTTAAGCTGAAATATGTTTAGTTGAGTCAATCTTTGAAGTTGAGATTCAAAAGAAAGTTTCTATAATTAGATGAAAGGGGATTATTGGAACAAAAATGTTTGATGTTTGTAAGTGTATATTATAACTCATCGAAACAATAAAGAAAATATACTGCAATGCGTTTTCCAAATATTTCAAGTTTTGCAAAATAATGAAGACTTTCTGTTTCAGCTCGATTAATTTCCAATTTAATTTCAGTGTCTTCCAAAACTGCATTTACAATTTATTAGATGTTATTTACTTGATGTCTTCAACCTGCAAGATGTTGAAGCGCTTTTCATCAGGCAATCGTTTCAATTTTGTAGTCAGTTAATTTAAATTCGCGTATTTTTCTCATGACAAACAGTCTCTCCAATACAATTTGACTCATCAAAGCAAGATCAAAGCAATGGGAACAGTTCGAGCTTTTTGTGAATATAAAAATGGCAATTAAAATAAGGCAGCAATTGGAATACGAAAATCAGTTTTTTGATGCTTTAAGTCAATACGATTTCAACACGATAACGATCGAAATCTGAATGCTTACAGATATTTCAATTTTCTCCGCATTTCCTTCACATTCGAGTCACAATCAAATACACAGTGAATAGACAGTAATCCAAGAAAATTTCATATTTTTTATTTGATTTGTAAACTTCACATTAAAGCATTAGTTTTTGTTGAACTTTTGAAAAAAAATTATGATTTGCTTCTATTTTAACATCCATATAGGACAATATTTTTATTCCAGTTGTTTTTGAGATACAGCAAAGTTAACATTTCATTTTTATTTTTTCATAATTTACGCAAGTCTTAAGATATTGTACTACAATTCTATATTCTTAGACTTAACGCAATACCACATCCAATAATTGAACATGTACTTTGGAAATAAAAAATTGTTTATGTTTGTTACTTTGTTGTGATTAATTTACAAATAAAAAGATGTTTGAAAAATGTCGAAAACGGTTGCTCTTAGCGAGCTCAAACAAGACTACTTTTCTTACGTAAATGTGAACGGAAAATAATTTTATTTGAAAATCAGGTTGATACGGGTAGGCACAAAAAAGTTATTATTATTTAAAATTTAAATATTAGTGCCATGTGGCGTCCTCCGTAAATTTGGTGAAAACTTGGACACGATTACGATTAGTCCTAGAATATAAAAATTTATTTCAGTGTCTTAAGATTTGCATGAATTATTTAAAAAAACGAAATTAAAATGTAAACTTTGCTACCCGTTATCTCAAAAACGATGCCATTTTCAATAGATGTTTGTATACTATTTTCATCTTTGAATTAAACTGAATTTTCAACCAACCGTTAAAGTCTTTAAACTAGATTAGATTGTATTAAAATAATTTTAAATACATTCGAAATAACAACAAAAATTAATAAAAATCGTATGTAATTCGATCGGATGTAGTTCAAACATACTATCGTGTTTCTCGTGATTTTTCGAAAGAAAATTGAAGATTCATACAAATTTTAGTTCAAGTTCGCAATTTTGTATGTTGAAGAAATGGGGGAAGCGTAGAGGACACAATGCTAAGCCGATTATGAAAACTGTTCAAATGAACAGAGAGGTAACTTGCCAACCTCTCTGTTCATCCAATTACTTAGTTAAAACTGGTGAGTTTTTCGGGCTTTTAAGCCGTCGTGAAAAAAAAATTCCAAACCTTTTGTAACCACGAGCGGTTTACATCTTCAGATGTGGTTTGCTTAAAGGTTTACACTGGACGCGGAAACAGCGACGACCTACAAGCTCGAGAATCTCACTAGTTTCAAGAATGCCTTCATCTTTTGCCTTTGTATATTTTCGATAAAATGAGTCTCCTGTTAATAAAGAATTGAAATCTCCGGACATACTGAGCGAACAAAGTTCTGTTTTTTTGGTAAGAGCAAGCTGTAGTTTTCGTTGAGGTTTGTATGCAATTTAATGTACATTTATTTAGCTGTTTTCTTACAAGCACAAAAATAGGAACCAAAGAAAGAAAAAAATTGTATTAACTAAAGTTAAAATAGTCAATAGGATAATATCTGATTGACAATAAATTTGAATGCTATGAGAGGAAACTTGATCTAATTTATTTGGTATTA